TGTTCTTTTCTCCTGGACTGGAGAAACATCACATGTCAGACAATCTATTTTACTGAATTTGCCTTTGCCAAGTGTGTGTTTATGAGATATTACTATATCGGAACAGTTGCTGTAGTTAAACAATCTATTATTCTGTTAAGCTTTACCATAGAGTTAAAGTTATACCAATTCTTTTTTTTGTTTGTAATTTAACTGGGGATAAGAATAAAGTGTGTTTTGCTTAAAGCCTAGTTGCGTGACCAATCGAATTACACCTAGAACACAGAACCTTTAAATAAGATAAAGTTGGGGTCTTAGGCTATCCCCCTGATATATTTGAAAGGGGTTTGGTCTGGTCCAGAACACAAGTGAGAAAGGTGGGTAGTGCAACACACTGCTTGAGGATAGAGACAAGAGGTACAAGTGGGTAGGGGGTCTAGTTTCTGTGTTTCAATTTTGAATATGGAAATGGAACTGTTATTGAGTGCCATCCGCAGAAAAGGTTCAGATTGATTTCAGGAGAGCCAGCGAGCCGGGAGAGGTGGAGGTGGAGTTGAGGATGGGCTTGCTTGCGGCTTGTGTGCGTAATCGAGAGTAACTGATGAACTGAAACTCACCTGAACCTGCACTCAAGCAGTTCCGCCTGTGCTGTCTTCGGAAAACTCAGGGACATGGGGACCCCGGTCAGGAAAGGCTTCTACAGGCAAGAGCTTAACAAGACCGTCTGGGAAGTGCCGCTCAGGTACACCGACCTGACCCCGATAGGATCAGGGGCGTATGGAAGCGTGTGGTAAGTGAGAAATGGGATTTTTGGGGCACCAATCCCACTCTGGTTACATGATTATGTTGGCTTAGGGTGAAATTTAAGGTTTTTTTTAGTATGGGGATCTTGGGTGCTCGAGCTAATTTTCGGACAGTGGGTCTTTGGGATTTGGACAGGAGACAAGGACAATTTTTAAAATTTTTTTTTTAAAAATTACAATGCAATATGCGTAAACGGTGCAGTGTACGAGCTTCAGACACAAACAAGGTGTAAACAAATGGACAACTTGTGCATGCAGACAAAAGTGGGAGTAAGATTCTCCCACCTGTGTCAGTGTGATCCTCAGGAAAGGGTGTTGGTCTTCGCAGATTTCTCTCTCTCTCTCTGTCTCCCCTAAACCTCCATTCAGGGAGAAACACTGGGAGACGATGTCCAGAATCTAAGCGTTTGCAAATTGACAACTTTAAGCTGAAAAAGAATTGGGAAGTAACATCAACAAATGGCATAGAAAGAGTAGGAGTATATAATTGTTTAAAGAGGGAAGGAGTTTCGGAATTTCATTAATAGGGAAAGATGACAGGTCTTTCAGTGGCACTATCATTGTTTGAGATTCGTGTCTGGTATCTATTTCAGAGGCTTGTCTGTTTGTCTACAGTCCTTAAGCCATTATACATCTGCCTCTCACATTGTAGACTTTGAACTTTTCTCTCTCAGGATTACCGTCAAGGTTGGGCTGTATAAATACAGAGGAGGAGGTGATTTAGCCCATCAAAACTCAGCCATATTCCAAACCAACTACCAACTGTTTCCTCACTCCTTGATCAATTTAAATTGGGCTCCTTCTGTGCCACCCCTCTTTGAACCTGTCCCCCCTTCAATTGCTGTGGTGTGAATCAAACATTCAGTATTTAACCTCACTGTACAGTTGGTCTCTATCTGTGCTTTGGAGCAGTTGAGAAAGATCAGGGTTGAATTCAATTGTTGTGTAATTGACCACAACAGGAGACCTATTATTCAAAGCCGAATCCAGAACAGAGATGTCTTAGTCCTACTTACCAGCAGCCACGTCCACAATAATGATGGCACAGTGACACCACCAATATGATACATAGAGTAACAAAGTCTCATTGTCACTAATGCAAACACATGCCAAAAAATAAAAATGTTCTAATATTACTAATGGAATCAGGGCAATGCTCCTACAGTGGTTATGTGCTCACAGCTTAGGGATCAAGAGTTCAACAAATCTGCTGCTTTTTAGCTCACACCAAAGCAAGTAAGTATATGGCTTGGACCTGCCATCCAAACTGGTCTGGCTGATACATAGAGACATAATCCCATACTATAGAATTGTCCCTTAATGCCCTTGGAAATGCCCCCTGAATTGGTATACAGCAGAACTTCTCAGGGCAACAAGTCATGTGCAATAAATGAAGTCATATCCTGTGAAGATGTGCAAAAAACAAAATCAGGCTGAAATAAGGAATTGTAAAAATAAGAGGCTGCTGCTGGTATCTACTCCTGCCAAGATATCTGCTGCCATGTTATGCCAAGCTTGTCTGACTTGCAGCATCCTTATATATCCACAGTAACTCATCTGCAACTGCTTTGTGATATCCATCATCTACTGACACCTAGCTTGACCTCCCCTTTTTACTGTCCTGCACTTTATCTTCTTGAAGAAATCTCTGTAGCTAGGGAGTTCTGATTTAACGGCTGAACTACTGATATTTTAATGTCACTTTTAGAGTCCTGTTTGCTGTTGACATTTCTACTACCTTATTATTTGCCTTATCGTCTGTGTATGGAATTTTTAACATTTGTCTCAGCCATCCACATTTCAAAAACCTCTATTTCCTTTCAAAGATCTTTACTTATTGTTCAGGCTGCTAAGGCACACAGAATAGAATGTATCATCCTATGAGTTTTTACTTGTTCCAAGCTTATCTTGTTGTTGACAGATCCTTCGTCTTCACAAAATTTTATCTGGCTACCTCTATGCTTTTCTAATGTCTGCATCACAAAGTGTGTCACACAGTCATAGATCTGTACAGCATGGAAACAGACCCTTCGGTCCAACTCGTCCATGCTGACCAGATATCCTAAATTATTCTAGTCTCATTTGCCAGCATTTGGCCTGTATCCCTCTAACCTTTCCCATTCATATACCCATCCTGATGCCTTTTATGTGTTGTAATTGCACCAGCCTCCACCATTCTCTGGCAGCTTATTCCACACATGCACTTTTTGGCATAAACAAATGAACTTATCTACTTTCTCCAGTGTGATTCCATTTCAATCTTCATTCCAATTTCTTCTAATATATTCCATTTAACCACTAGTATTTTTGACTTTTTGGCTTTTCAGTTCATACTGAAGGCATATTCTAACCTTCTAGATTTTAATTGATTTATGATATTTTTTAAGACCTCTTCCAAGTCTGTAATTAGCATCAGGTCATCAGTGTACTGCAGGTTTTTATGTTCTTGCCTTCAATTTTCATCCCAGATGTACATCTGATTCTCTTAATATTTGTTGTGTACCCAGACTGTATAATTTTGCCAACAGTACACAGCCTTATTGCAATCCTCTCTTCATTTGAAACATTTCTGATTGTCTCTCTTCTAGCCTGACATTCCCTATTTGGTCGCATCCTTGACCCTGGAGAAATTTCACAACTTTACTGTCAATTTCAGCAACATGTCTGTTAACTTTTGGCAATCAACATGACATTATATAATACATTCTCATTTTGATGAAACAGAAGTAAATTTTGTTGTTTAATTCTAAATATTTATCAAACGTTTCTCCAAGGTTAAATATTCCCTTTCTTGATTTTACCCCAGGTCAAAATCCTGACCATGTATCACCAGTTTTTGGTTTAAACGTGTTTTTTTTTCTATTGTGATTTTGACGATCACTTCAATAAGATGACTCTTAAAGCTTATAGTTCTGAAGTGATTGCAATTCGTTGCTTAAGTTTCGTAGGTACGTGAATGAATAATGAATGTATCAAGTCACTTGAAACATAGCCTTTGGTGTATATTTGATCACAAACATTTGTTATCAGTTCTGTTTCTCCGAGTGCTTTTGGACATTCTGCTATTACTTCACCTAAACCTGGAGCTTTACCATAATCAACAATTTCAAAGCATTCTTTAACTTTGATGTTGTAATGTTTGGTCTTTCAGTTGACTCTATATCATGAGGACTCTGTTGATTTGGATCATTTTTCAACTCACTTGTAGTCTGGCTAATGTTTGGCTACTGTATCCCTTTCAAACAATATTTTACCAACTTTGCCTTTCCACCTACTATCTATCATTATCCCTTTTTAGGCCATTTGTCCATAACCTTCATAAGAACATAACATAAGAACATAAGAACCAGGAGCAGGAGTAGGCCATCTGGCCCTTCGAGCCCACTCCATCATTCAATCAGATCATGGCTGTTCTTTTTTGTGGCCTTAGCACCACTTAACCACCCTCTCACCATAACTCTTAATTCCTTTACTGTTCAAAACATTATCTATCTTAGCTTTAAAAACATTCAATGAGGAAGTCTCAACTATTTCACTGGCAGGGAATTCCATAGATTCACAACCCTTTGGGTGAAGAAGTTCATTCTCAATTCATGTTATGATTTCTTTCCAGCTCCAGTACTTTAAAGAAATCTTGTTGTAACTTCCTCTTTAGCCTACCTACATGCATTTTTTAAAAAATGAATTTCATCATACTCAAACATGCTTTCCCCTGCTCTCTCTATCATCATTGCTAGTTTCTCCTCAATCATTCACATCTTGTCACTTTCTGTTTTCTTCTGTTTTGGTGGTTTTTCCTTTGAAGCATAATGTATACTCTCCATCATGTTGCTTCATTTTCTTGTGAGAGAGGCTACATGCAAACATGTTAACTCATGTTGTACAGTATGCTCTCAACCCAGTGTAAAATAATACCCCAATAAGCAGTGACCCAATGAGTCACATAGGATAAATGTAGGTCTGCAGTATGCATCCAGTGAGATATCTAGTATAATCTTGGGATATCCTATACATCACAGTAACACTGTAACTGTATTACAGGACTAGTAATCCAGAGCCCAGGACTAATATGATGTAGGTTTCAGGGGTATATCAGTGAGGAGACAATATCTGAGAGGAATGCTAAGGTATACAAAATACTGGCAGAGTTGGATAATAATAAACTAGGGAACAGTAAACTAATATCTGGGCTCAGAAAAAAAGAATAAAGCCTAAATCAGGCTTACCGTGCATGTATGTGAATGCACAGAGGGTGGTTAATAAGACTGGTGCAGATTGTCATTTGGAAATACAATATTATGGCTATAACAGAGACCTGGCTCAAGGAAGGGCAGGAGTGGGTGTTAAATGTTCCTGGATATAAGATACTCAGAAATAATAGAAAAAGAAGAAAAAGGGAGGGGGAGACAGTATTGATCAAAGAGTACATTGAAGAGGGAATAGGGACCAAATCTTTTTGGCTTTAGTTAATGACTTATAATTATAAATTTCATTGTTTAGTGCAGTCTACAGACCACTCACTGGTGAGGAGGTGATTGAGAAACAAATTTTCAAGGAAAATACTGCAAGGTATAAATATATTAGGGTGTTTGTATTGCAGACTTTAATAATCTGAATAGAGACTGGAATAATAGTAAGCAAAGAGCAGAGAGGGGCATGAGTTCCTGGAGTGAAAATTTCCTGTAGTGGTGTGTGCTAGTGTAACAAGAAAGAGGGCTCTGCTAGATCTAATTGGTGGAAATGAGATGGACATGTGGATTTAGTGTCAGTAGGGGATCATTTAGGGCACAGTGATTATAGTACCAAACATTTAGGTTGATTTTAGAAAGGACAAAGAATAAATCGTAAGAATAATTAACTGTCGGAAAACCAAATTCAATGGGATAAGAATGGATCTGAACTAAATAAATTGGAGTCAGAGGTAGTTAGGAAAAACAGTAGCTGTACAATGGGTTGAATTGAATTGAATTGAATTGAATTAAGTTTATTGTCACATGTACTTACATGAGTGAAAAGTTTACAAGTTCCACTTACAGCGCCATCTTAGGTACAAAGATACCTAGGTACAGCAACTTGGTACAGGTACAGAATCTTGGATTATTTTCAAAGCAGAAATAGTTTAGGCACAGTAATGGTATATTCCCTCTAAAGGACAAGGTACAATAAATAAGGGCAGAAAAGATTCTTGAGAATGGTTCCAAGTATGAAAACTTTATTTATGAAGATAGATTGGAGTTGTTAGGACAGTTTTTTTTGGTGAAAAGACAGCAAAGAGGAGACTTGATAAAGGTATTCAAAATCATGAGGTTTCTGGACAAAGTAGCTTAGAGAAACTGTTCTTACTTGTCAAAGAATGGAATAAGAGGTCATGGTTTTAAAATGATTAGAAAGATGAAGCATAAGTGATATGAGAAAGATTGTTTTTACACAGTGAATGGTTAGGGTCTGAAATGCACTACCTGAACCTGTGATGGCAGCAAGTTCAATCAATGCATTCAGCAGGGAATTAGACTCTGGAAAGGAAGAACATGCAGGGTTACAGGAGAGGGCAGGAAAATGGCACAACGTGAATCAGTTATTTGGAGCACTGGTGCAGATATAATGAGCCAAATGGCCTCCTTTTGTGCTGTAATAATTCTGTGTAGTTCTAATCCCACAATAGGAGCTGCAGTAAACTCAAATTCAGCCAATTAAATAAAGACATACTCGTAGAAAGCACCTCCGGGGAAAACGACATTTAGTATTTTCAGGTACATTGTTTTACCTCGATGTTTAGCAACTTAAAAGCCAAGTAAGCAATTGATATGTGGTTAAATTGTGGAAGAAAATCAACTCTTCAATTCTAATTAATATTACTACATTGACTGAGATGTAAACTCAAGATAAATATGATGCATTTTGCAAAGTAATTTTGCATTTTTGTTCTTACACAATGTCTGATTTCTGCTTGATGTACTTTCACAGTGAGATTGGAGTGTTTGTGCTTGTCAAATAATGGGGCCGAAGTCACCTCCTATGGTTCCGCGGCATGCTGTGTTGCAGCTCTCGTCATTGTGCTTCTTCATCAGACAGATGTGAAACTTGACAAGGTTCAGAAAAGATTTACAGGGATGTTGCTCGATTTGGAGGGTTTGAACTGTAGATGGAGGCTGAATAGGCTGGGGCTGTTTTACCTGGATCGTTGAAGGCTGCGGAGTGACCTTATAGAGGTTTATAAAATCATGAGGGGCATGGATATGGCGAATAGACAAGGTATTTTCCTCAGGGTATGGGAGTCCAAAAATAGAGGGCATAGGTTTAAGGTGAGAGGAGAAAGATAAAAAAGGGACTTAAGAGGCAACTTCTTCACGCAGAGGATGGTGCATGTATGGAACGAGCTGCCAGAGGAAGTGGTAGGGGTGGGTACAATTATAACATTTAAAAGGCATCTGGACGGGTACATGAATAGGAACATAGAGGGATATGGATCAAATGCTGGCAAATGGGACTAGATTAATTTAGGATATCTGGTTGGCATGGATGAGTTGGACCAAAGGGTCTGTTTCTGTGCTGTACATCTCTATGACTCTGTGAGAAAGGCTGATAATCTACTTCTCGTTCCAATTACGTATAGTTCAGTGATTGACCAGAAGACCGGAGAGAAAGTGGCTGTAAAGAAACTGCACCGACCCTTCCAGTCTCTGACTCATGCTAAGCGAGCGTACCGTGAACTCCAGCTGCTCAAGCACAACAAACACGAAAATGTGAGTTTGGATCATGAGCCTTAGCAAGTGGATGCTGAGCATATTGACATGTTAACTTTGTTCACGTTTCTTCTATGACTTTTTAAAGTCAGTTTTCTTGTTTTTGCAGGTTATTTGTTTGCTCAATGTCTTTTCACCAGAAGACTATTTACATACATTCCAGAGCTTGTGAGTACATGCAGCACGGTTGAAGAAAAATACCTTTCTTCTTCTTCTGTTCGCGGTGTTGTGAATTCCAACATAACATGTATGGTCTTGCAAAAACTCCATAAGCAGCACTTAAATGGTTGGGCATTTATTGATATTCTCAGTTCTCCTTGCCTTTGCCACATGCATAACTGAGTTGCAAATCTCCATTGCATCATTAAGGGGAGTCACTAAGTGAGACCTTTTCCTTTCTAATAAATAGACCAGAACTGACAAAGCAATTAACCAACACTTCTGTGAACTGCCTAATGTTTTAGAGCAAGTGCAAGGCCTATCACTTTGCTATCAAAACTTCCGCACACTTTTCCTTCTCACCAACAGATTGCACGCAGCTTTGATGTCCCATTTAACTCTTAAACTGAACTTCAAGTTCCATATTCTAACAATCACCAAGACCATCTGTTTGCACCTTTAAAGAATTGTTTGTGTCTACCTACTCTCTCACTGCTGATGAATCCTTCATTAATGACTTCTCCACCTCTAGGCTTGACACCTTACTTTGCTTTTGTCAATGGCCTTCAATACTCGTCTATTTTGAATTCATTAGTTGGATGGGGTCATCACTAGCATAGTCAGTAGTTGTCCATTCCTAATTGTCCCTTGATCTGAGTGGCTCAGTAGGCCATTTCAGAGAGCAGATAAGAGCTGAGTACATTACTGTGAATCTGTAGACCGGACACGAATGGTGAATTCCCTTCCCTAAAGGACATTAGTAAAACAGATCAGTTTTTAACAACAATAACCTTGGTTTTACGGTTAGTATTACAGAGATTTAACTTCAGGTTTTCTTTCCCCAAAATTCCTCCAGCTGCCATGGTGGGATTTGAACCCATGACCTACAGCATTAATCTGGGCCTCTGGATTACTAGTCCAGTGACATTACCATGACACCACTGCGTCCCAATTCTATGTAATCAACAACTTGCTCATGCACCCATATTCCATCCAAATGTTCTGTCTTGTTTGGCATCTCCATTGGCTCCCCTTTTTCTCACAGCATTTGAATGTGAAATTCTCATTTCCTCTCGACAAGTTCCATGCAGTCCCACCTCTCCTTCTCAATACATTCCCCTGCAAATGCTTCCCAATCTATGCCCTCCAAACTCCTACAACCCCTTTTCTTTGCCCCCTTCCCAACATTCCAGTTTCTGTGGCACACCCTTCAGGTGTTATGGCTGCCATCTTGGTCCAGCTGACTATGTCTCTTGCCACTTTCAAAAGCATTCTTAAAACATACCTCCTTGATGCCTTCAGACCCAAACATTACCTCTTCCACTAATGCTATAAGCCTATTTATGGCAATGTTCAATGCCTTTGGAAAATTTTCCAATGTTAAAGACATTATATAAAGTAACTGATGGGAATGCAATAAGACCCAATGGAAGACAAGGGAAAATAAAACCTAAGAATTAAGAAGGAGCCTTTTGAACTCCACTTCTCTCACTTTATCGCTCTCTATCTGTCATTCATTTTTATCTCTCACATATTCTCATGCTTTGATCCGTGAGAATCTTAGCACGCAATAGTTTTGGAAAACAGATTAAGTGTTCAGTTACATGATCCAACCAGCTCCACCCTCTCCTCCCCAAAAACAGGAATACAGTGATTACGTAAACTCTGCTATTGCCTCTCTGTGTGGCTCTGCTACAATATGCTGAGAAAGTCTTGATGCATATGATGTGAACACATGCCAAAAAAACTTTAACCTTTCATGGGCTGTGGTGCAATTGACAATGCTGGATTTTGTTGCCCATCCATAATTGCCCTTGAACTAAATAGCTTGCTAAATGTCAACCATATCTCCATGGGTCGGGAGTCACATACAGACCAGACCAGATGAGGATGGCATATTTCCCTCCCTAAAGCACAGCAGTGAACAAGATACATTTTTACAACAATCAATGAGAGCTCTCATGGTCACTGTGACCTGCATTCAATTCCACATTTCTTCCAAATTAATCCAGTGGAAATTCCATGAGCAGCCATGGTGGGATTGGAACCTATACCCCAGTGTTTCAGCTTGGGACCTCTGGATAACTAGTCCAACTACACAACACCACCAACACCCCACACACAATTAGAGCAGACTTCAGTTCTTGCATGATTTTGTTTTTTGTTTATTCATTCACGGGATGAGCACGTCACTGCTTGGGCCAGGATTTATTACCCTTCCCTAATTGCCCAGAGGGTAGTTAAGAGTCAACCACATCGCTGTGGGTCTGGAGTCATGCATAGGCCAAACCAGGCAAGGATGGCAGTTTCCTTCCCTAAAGGACATTGGTGAACCAGATGGATTTTCCGACAATTGACAATGGTTTCACATTCATCATTAGATTCTTAATTCCAGCTTTTTTATTGAATTCAAATTTCACCATCTGCCATGGCGGGACTTGAACCCATGTCCCCATAATATTATCTGGGTCTCTGGATTAACAGTCCAGCGATAATACCACTAGGCCATCACCTCCCCTCTATATCCCCAAGATATAGTGAGTTTAAATTAATATTTCTTTTTCCACCACATATTTTTATGCTGACCTTATATTTAACTTTATGCTGGGATGCAGTTCCATGAGTGACCACTGCGTGAAAGTAGCTCACCAAGGCCATTCTATGTTGTGTGAACTTTGTCAGTGTTTGTGGAAAATATGACTTTTCATGCTTCACACCTTAATCCAATCTTGTTCCACATCCATTCATTTAGCAGGTCTCTTGCCCTGTGATCACGAATGACCCTCTTGGCCAACTTAGTTATTTATTTCTCTACCATCCACTTTCTGTAACCTCAGGGACCACTTTCCTGCTACCCTATGGTTAAACAACAGGAAATGGGAGCTTTACTGATCCTTGTAGCTCCATTGCCCACAGGCTACACTCACTGACTTGTTTATTACAGACAGCATCGGAGCACAGGAGTAAAAACCAGAAGTGCTGAAGAAACTCAGCAGGTTTGATAGCATCTGTGGAGTGTGTTGAACATGAGTCTCAAAAGGGTTAATACTGAGGAGGGCCAATACCTGCTTTAGGAAAGATGTTGTGAAACTTGAAAGGGTGCAGGCAAGATTTACAAGAATGTGGCCGACGTTGGAGATCGTGAGCTATTGGGAGAGGCTGAATAGGCTGGGGCTATTTTCCCTGGAGCATTGGAGGCTGAGGGGTGACCTTAGGGGTTTATAAAATCATGAGGGGCCTGGATAAGGTGAATAGCCAAGGTCTTTTCCCCAGGGTAATGGAGTCCAAAACTAGAGGGCATAAGTTTAAGTTGAGAGGGGAAAGATACAAAAGGGACCTAAGGGGCAGCTTTTTCACGCAGAGGGTGGTACACGTATGGAATGAGCTGCCAGAGGAAGTGGTGGAGGCTGGTACAATGACAGCATTTAAGATTTATCTGGATGGGTATATGAATGGGAAGTGTTGGGAGGGATATGGGTCAAATGCTGGCAAATGGGACGAGATTAGTTTAGGATATCTGGTCAGCATGGATGAGTTGGACTGAAGGGTCTCCTTCCATGCTGTGCAACTATGATTCTATGACTATGACACTGTGATGATGTCATATGGACTTGCAGGTAGGACAGCTTAAGATCTCAAAGAAGTGAGACCCAACAAATGGCTCTCCTCAATATCTCTGTAATAATGTCCATGATCTCAATGTAATTTGTTAACATGCAATAATGTATATCTTGTTAACTATAAGAGCAATGTTCCCTCTGAGCTGTATGGCTCACAGCTACACAAAGGCCCAGATAAGCCTATTTGCCTGCAGATGCATAGACTTCTATTTCCAGAAGTCACTGCTGCAGATGGACTTTGGAGAAAAAGGAAAAGTTAGAGGGAACATCATACAAGAGAGTCTTTCAGTTAGACCAGGGAGTGGTTTTCCTCTGCAACATTAGACCAGGCAGGTTCTGTCATTTCCTACACTTATAGAAAAGGGTGATAGCAGCCTTCATCATGAGCAGCAGCTCATACAGTGGAGTGAACTCATATGCCTACACAACATGGTGGGCAGTGGGGCAGATTTGAATAGACTGTGTATGCAATGTGGTGAGTAGCGGTGTGAGATATTCAGGCTCAGCTTTAAATCGTCTGCTCATGGAACACTGTCAATAACTGGAGCTTTAAGAAATCCAAGAGAAATCCACACGACGTCTCCAGTTGATGAGAGCTGAACTAAACTTTACTAAAGTTGAGGTTTCTCAATGATGCAAATATAGGATTCTGGCAGGTTGCATCAGACAAGTATTCAAGCTTGCTTACTGCATTCATTACTCAGTTTGGAAGATTTTGTTGCAACAGTTAACCATTTAAAATCGCCTTGGCTCCAGAGATTTTTTAATGAATGATATCTAATATCTTACAAGGTCTTAATGGAGTCATTAATCAACATGAGTAATGTAATAATACATGGGGAAACAGCTAAAGAGAATGAATGCAGTCTTAAAGTGCAGAAGAGCTTGCCCTTAACATGAAGTGCAAATTCACCAAGGGATCTATTTATTTCATGGGGCACATTGTTAACCGTGAGGGTATAATGGCAGATCTTCAGAAGACTGAAGCTATTATGGAGTTCCACACTCTGTATCAGTACAGTGTCTCCAAAGATTCTTTGGGATTGTAAACCAGTTGGCAAAAATCAGTTTAGCCAGTCGGGAGCAGTTGAGGGACACCTCAATACCCATTAGAATTACATGTAGAATTGGCCTCATTAAGGGCCCAGTGGATTGATCTTGAAAACTAACAGCACCAGCAGCATTTTCCAATTGTAGGCAACACATAATAACTGATTGGTCAATCCAGCTTTCACTTTGGGAAGATGTCCACCTGACACCTGGGGACAGCTGAGTGCAGGTTTTAGTGAGCAGTGCACTGGCCTGGGATCTCTAAAGACATTGGGTCATGTACATATTGGAATCATTGATTCTGTACATTGCATCAGAATATAGCCAATTGAAACCCAA